CTGCTTAAGTTAGTTGTGCTCACAGCCCTACTATGTTTAACTTCAGATGATATAAATGAATGTTAATAAAACCCGAACTTTGTTAACACCATGAAAATGTCCACATACCACATTTTGGCTATAATTATGCAATATCGATTTGTTGATAGAAATCAAAAAGTAAAAGAAAAAAGGGGTGGGAGGGGGCGGAACCCCAAACGAGGGCGGAAAAGGGAAAAGTAGCATTCGACACCTTCATTTTTATCGAATTTCTAATGTAGCGTTTTTAAAAGCTTTTCAATATTACCTTAAGCGCAATTCATTCAGTTTTCTTTTTAGTTAAAAGTAGTCAGATTAAATGTGATGCAGGGTTAATTTAAGCAGATCCCCGATTGAAACTAAGTGAGCTTACAACAATACCTGTAATGGTGCGGTCTGAAACACAGACTAACTGGTGCGTATTTGACCGAGTTTGGGGCTTGTTTCTTACCTGAAATTGACCTTCGTATCGCCACCTGTCATCGCAGCGATTAATAATTAAGCAAATACTGGACAAAACGAGCCAATCGGAAGCCATCATTCAACGGAGAGCTGAGCTAATGATGACAGCCCAAGTCTTCCTGCCCTTCCCCCAAGACTATCATCTAATTATTCAGCCCCCATCTTGAACGACATAGCCCTGTCTCGAAGGAACAACAAGTGGTCATGAGTACCCACGAGAGAGGTCCTTTCACTTTGAGCAATTTTTTTAAAATCACCGATTAGAATTTCCACATTAAACTTGCGCTATTATTTTATATTTCGTTTAAAAATACAAGCAGTCTAATAGTTTTAATCCTGTTTAGCAACTCACATTAATTGTTCATTATCTTTGTACAATTGCTTCTAGATTCAACAAACAAAGTGGGGATGGAGTGGGAAGGGGGAGGACGAGTCCGAATATGTGTACCCAAGATATATGGGTTTAAATAAAAATGGGGCATTTTTTTTTACCCCTCCTTATATAAATCCACCACTGTCACTGATTATAATTACAATAATTTGGATCTACAAATTATTTGTAGATCCCTTTTTTCCGAATGATACTAGCTTACTCAAATTCGCATGTAATGGTAACATCAAAAACATTCAGTATGCTGAAAAATCATTGACACTCGCAAGCAATAACCACGATAACAGTTGAAGTACCGACAATAATTGAGGTTCGAGAGGCAGAAAATTGTTAATATATCAAATTTAAAGTGCTTGAATACGCTTGAATATAACATTTACAAGGATGATGATAATAAGGATGATAGAAAAAAATCGTATAAACTGTAGAAAACAATTTTGATTTCTTGGGGGCAAGGTGCATGACAAATTTACCCGTCACAAATTATGTCAAAATTTGACATGGTGTGAAGTATTTCCTCTTTACAGGTAACACACGGGACGTTTAGGTGTTTTTTTTAAGTAGCTAATGAGATACGATGAGAAATTCACTGAAAGATGTTATATAAATTGAAGATAATTGAAAAGGAAGAAAAGCCTATTATCTCAATGCTCCAGTCGGTAGATCTCATAAAAATGAAAGGAAAATATTATGAAAAGAGAAACACAAAGAATAAGAGAGACGGATTGCGAATAAGATGTGGGAGGGACGGACGGAGAGAGAGAGAGAGAGAGAGAGAGAGAGAGAGAGAGAGAGAGAGAGAGAGAGAGATTGATTGTAAGGTTAAGGACGGACGGGAAAGAGGGAAATTGCCTTAGAATTCACTTTCGAAACCTAGCCGCGGTTATTTTAACGAGTACCCGGGGAGGGGAAACCCCTAAAAATTCACAGAAACAGAATTACTTCACGTAACACTTTGAGAAGATAGTCATTGCTAATTCTCGTAATCGTTTTCATAGTTCAAATTCTCTATTTCATGCAAGTATTCAATCATTGGCGTACTAAACCACAGGGGCATATATAGGGCACGTGCGCTCAATTGAATGGTAAGCGCCTTGAGCACCCTCTGGGTGGATATGTCGCGCTATAAAAATGTCTTTATTATTATTATTATTATTAACAAAAAATAAAAGGAAGGAAGAAGCGAACGTGAAGGAAGAAAAGGAAATTGAGAAGAGAAAAAGTACGAGAATAGAATATACTTGGACCACATCACACCCCCTCTCCTAATCAATAGCCTTGTAAACTCGATTTCATTTTCCGAATAAATATTGGGAGCCCCTCCCAAATCGCGCCAGTGCCCCCACGGCCCCACCCCCATGAGTGGACGGGTTCAAGCTACGCTCCTTCATTCAATAGCCAATACCCTTTTCGGGTCATGAACTATGGTGTTTAACTATTATTTGATCTAAAAACATCCAACACTGCTTTGAGTGGCGTATCCAGCTAAGCCAGGGTCCGCCCCTTCCTGCTTGAGCCCTCCCCCCAATGATTATACTACCTATAATAAAACCAGTTTCTTATAAAGCGCTTTATCACTAAATACTATTATTACCCCGGTCATTGAATTCAATTATTAATCTGCACATTATAATGGTGCACATTCTCCAGTCGCCTTTTTTACGGGAGCGCAAAGGCTAATTCAACCACAATGACGTTCGCATCCTGGGTGAAGGGGAGTCATGTAAATTAAATGCCTTACTCAAGGACACAAGTGCCATACCGAGGCTCGAACACCCGACCTTTGCCTTTCCAGTTAATTTAGAGCCCCACTGCACTACTTATAGCTTCTTGTGCCCTTTATATAGCAACGAATGCCTAATCGGTGCCTGTTGGTCCCCCATGATCCCCTTTTCTTATATTAATTGAGAGCTGATTTGATGAGATAACCACCTGTCAGTGACCTTGCAGGGAGGTATAATCCTCCTGATCAAACTAGTGCAGACGGGCTTTATACCACTCGACTACGACACCTCTGCTGTGTTTTTTTTTTCTTTTTTTTCTAACGTTAAAATGTCTGACGTAATCCCTCGCTGCTCTACATTGGCCCTGGTATTTTCCATCGGGGATTAAGGAGGGGCAACAGTTTTCCCTAAAAAGCCTTTTGTATTTTTTTTGTCTTTATCTTCCCCATTGGTTCTGCTGCTGTTCATGTATTTATAGTGGTTAGTGAGATACGAGACAAAACTGTTATTGCGATGGGAGCACACAACTGTGTCGAAAAACATATCTTCTACATAATATGCACATCTTATAGATGAATTAAAAGCCCATCGTGAGTGATGAAGAGGGGAAAATTTCATAATTTAGTAGAAGGAAATTGAACTTATGACAAGTCTTTCGCCAGGTAATATTCATAACATCGCCAATTTACATAATTTCTCTAATTTCGAGACCCGGATGCGATGGCGCCCGGCCCAGTTAGCCAATGGAGGTTTGTTTAGTGGTCAAAATTATCAGACAATTGATCGCATGTTTAAAAAAACCTTTTAATCTATTGCGCATGTTAGACAACTAAATAAATTTAAAAAAAATGCTCGACTGGTGCGAAAAGTACCCATGACTTTTATTTTTGTAATGCATTAGGATTTTTTTTTTAATCGCGAAAGCAACGATTTTCTAAACTGCATTGCATCAATGATAAAACAAAACAGCATTTAATTCAAGGAGAAATTTAGCCCCGCCCCTTCCCTTACCCCCTTCCTCTCAGTGTCTGGATCCATGTTACGCCACTATTTTATCATATTTTCTTAAAGATAAAGTTGAGTTCTGGTCATGCGATTGCATCGTGAAAGAAACTGTGTAGAAGCGATTGGAAAAGGCAGATCCCGTAGCATGTAAGTATTGATGTATACTGCATGGGAGGTAATGGAATCATCAAATGTTAAGAAATTGATAAGAAATTGGCCCAGTCTTGCTAAAAGTCACATGCGCTGTACACAGGAAAAAGTATACGGGACTACACTAACATTTGACATGAAAGTTGTGGTCCGCAACCTTTGGCTGTTACTTGTCATGTTTTCGAATATTAGAGCATTTGAAGAGCCATCCTTTTCAGAGGACATTTTCCGATTATCTTCTTCCACACGAACATGAAACGAAGCAGAAACTTCACCTTTTCCAGAACTCAACCTTCACTTTAAATCTGTTTACCTCATGTTTCGTTCCAAAACCTCTCCTCCAAAAAACAGAAGAAAATCAAGCGCATTGTCGGTTACATACTCCATTACCTTCTGTCATTAACAATCTAAAATCAAACTCCCGTACAGACTGGAAACTTAAGATTGAAATGTTTCCTATAATTAATCTCCCCAAGATTTATCTGCGTCCAAAACTGAACTTCCTCACAATATAAGCGAAGAAGAAGAAGAGGAGGAACCAATACGAAAGTCAGACAGAGAAAGGAGCAAATAAAGAGAACAATTTGTTGTCATTTTTATGACGATATTTGAGTTAATATTTGTCTGGACGGGCAAGGGGGGGGGGGGGTACTCGAGTAAGATAGAGAATGGAGTTATGAAGAGGAAGAATTCGTAATTTTTATGATGATGGTGAATTAATTTTTGTCTGGATCGCATGGCATATAGAAAAACATTACTGTTTGCTTGATATATACCCGGTTGAAATTGTTGTCGTTGTTTCGTGGTCTGGCGGCTCTCTTGGAGGGAAAACATTGTCATTTTAGTGTTCATCGATGATTTATAGGTCGTCTGTAGCAAACCAATATGCTTAGGGCTATTTGTCTTTCTCGATAATCACTGTCCACAAAGTGGAAAATTAGTCTATTTCATCATAATAATTTTATTTTGAAAGCCATCGTCGGGTCGCGATGGACTGTCCTTCACTTTCCACGTAATACAGTCTGCAAACTCTTGCGGAGTTGAAGATGGAAATCAGCTTTAAAGGGTTGCACGACACTTGCCCTTGCGACAACTTCTCCACGTCAATACCTACACTAAACCAATTCTTAACTCAAACCCTAGTCCCCAAATTATACGTAACCATAATCCTTACCCTGAACCAAACCAGAAGGTTGAGTTCTGGGAATAATTTGTGAGCTTCATAATTGTTATTATGTAAGTGTGCATGGAAGAACATCAGGTAAAAAATGTTCCCTGAAAAGCATGGCTCTTCAAATGCCTTAATATTCTAAATATGGCATGTAACATTATAAAATTCGGGACTGAGTTTTATGCCACATGTTCGTGTAGTCCCATATACATCTTTCTGTGTACAGTGCTTGTAATTTTACCAAGACTGGGCCAAATTTCTTATCATTTTGCTGATTCCAGAACCATGCAGTACACACTATTCGTCTTAAATGCTAGATGATCAAACTTTTCTGATCGGTCCCACAACGTTTCGTTCACAATGCAATCGCATGGCCAGAACTCAACGTTATCTTTAAACCGGCTTTAAACCTAATTGCAACCCTCTTCCTAACTTATAACCCTATACCTTTGAATAAATAAAGCCTGGAGCCATTGAAACAGGAGCAAATGACGGGTCACCCTTTAAAATTGTTCCATACATAAGGTCATATGAACGTTTTCAAGGGTTTATCTCATTTTGGAATAACATCGGTTGAGAGCCAAAAAGGCATTAGCTTTAAGTATATTGAGTTAACGTCCTTTTAACTCTCATGTGGCAATGATGAAAATCATTTGAACGGCTTTCAAATGGTTATACCAGTCTTCACCGTTTAGTTAGTGGTACGATTATAATGATACACCGTCAAACTTTCCTCCCCTGATTGTAAGCAAACCATATTGGTGTCCAAGTTTTTCTAAAAGCCAACGAGAGTCACTAAAACATAACTGTTTATCTCATTTTCGAGGAGTTGGCATACAGATACTTTTTTATATTATGATAATGCTAATAAAATGATTAATTTACTGGTTAAGGGATATAGCCTAAATGGGTTAATGCAATAAAAACTGATGCAAGTTAGGAAATTGAGTTAGTTTTACGAAATGTTTTGAAAGAGGAGACTTATTTCGTTATTCTGTTATGATGTATTCAACTGTTTACGAACAACTACAGGTCCTTCGGAATGTTTGGAGAGGCATCGCTTGGCCATATACAACGCAATGGCTCTCATCTTTTGTCAGTCAATCATGATAAGTCGAGATAAAATCTTACATTTTTCCATTTTATTACATCGACGACGAACAAGAGTTTGCAGATAAATGTTTAACTGATGTTGTATTACAAACAGGTAGCAAATGTAATGCTCAAAACGTAAGTTATTTTGCAAGTGGAGTAAATAAAAAGGAGCCATATATACGCTTTGAAAGAGATGGATATAAGGACAGAAGAGAGATAGAATGAGAGCGAGAGAGAGAGAGAGAGAGGGAGGGAGAGAGAGAGAGAGAGAGAGAGAGAGAGGGTCAAAATTAATGAGAGAAGGGAGGGGAGATAAGGGAGGGGAAAGAGAACGATAAAAAGAATATATATTTCATATCGAACCAAAGCAACCTAATTATAAAAATAAAAAAAACATCATTAAACTCTTCCTATTACAATTCATGGACTATCTCTTTAATTGGAATGAGTCCATCTTTCGCGATGCCTCCCTCTCTTCACAGGAACCGCGTTGATTTTCACTCCCAGACCCGGTTCATTGAGAATCGAAGCGTGCATGAAGATTATGGGCCGTTCCCCCCAAGGGTTACAACCCCTCCGGCAACCTCCAACATTTAAGAACGGAAAGAAAAGGAAGGAAGGGAAAAAAGGAAGAGATCATAGATATGATTTTCCCCTTTCAACATCAACACGTCAAACTAATCTGTTTCACTGTATACTTGGAACATTGTGAAAATTGGATAACCAGCAGGATTTCCTAATATATATGTAATCATATTTCGTTAGATTCCGTATTAAATACTGGATTGGCGCTGCGGGACATGACACCAGAATCGTGTTAGCAGTCCCGAGGTGGTTATAATACATTGGATTGGAAGTTTTGTTGGCAATGCCAATATCAAGAGAGCTTTGCGGAGGGTAAATAAAACAAGAAACAAATTAATTCAGATAGATTCTTTTAGTGCTTTTTAAATGTTGACATGAATAGAATGTTTAGTTAATGCTAATGAATCGAACACATTAGTTTAACGATGAAAGTCATCTGACGTCGCCTGATTAAATAAAACAAAATCATGAGAAAATAATGTACGTATGTATGCATATTTTTTTAATTTTGTCAACCCCGTCGGAAAAAATAAAATATGAGAATTAATTTTTGATAATCTTTTGTCTTCAAAGCAATGTGAGGTCCATTATGTTTTTATCTACGGGTTTTGATGTTGTATATGTTGTGGTAAATTCACCAGAAAATTTGGTTAAAAAATTATGGCGACGTCCCTGGATGAATGGGTTTGGGGGGAGGGGGGGTCGTGGAGTCTGAAAGGTCGTGTAGCACTAGAAACTCCGCTCTCACTCCCATGTCCGTCCCAATGATATTCGATATAAATTACATCTGACATTGGCTAATCCTCTGTCGAGGGGGGGGGGGGGGGGCGGTCGATGAATTTATGATAGCCCACTGATATCTCAAACAAAGTTCCACCAAAATCCAAATTTAAAATCAGTTTCAAACATACATTTCCCCTCGTTGATGCTTATCGTGGCGGTGGCGAGTATGGATTAGACTTCGGCGACAGAATTATGTGGTATTCAGTGGCGTAGCTCCAGGGGGCGCGGGACAGGCGTAAAGCATTCACCATCATTTAGCAAGTCCCTCAAATAGGACTCAGAGCCGTAAGTCCCCTTGATGCTTACAAACTACATATGCATTGTATTTGCTATTTAGCAATAATGTTGTCCATAGATTTGGAATAATTGTTTCTCACCTCTTTTCATGAAATGACTGTGACAATATGGTTTATCTTGACGGATAAAATTAATATCTTCTCAGAACTGTATTGCGCAATCTAAAGCGCCGTAGAGATTGACCAGTAAATTTCTGAGAAGATAATTTATCAATACGAAAACAATATATTGTCACTATCCTTATAATAAAAAAGGTATATAGGAACATGTTTTTTCCAACTGTATCGTATATAGTTGAAATAAAAAGGCATCTACAGAACCTTTCTTTTCTTCCCTTTGATTTAATTTTGTATTTTGCTTTCCATGTACACACCATCACGAATGATCTACATTATTCTGTTTCTTGACTTCAAAATGCCCTTGGAAAACAAAAATATATATGAGATTATAAAGCGTAACATTTGAGTGTGTCAGTCCCGATGACAAGTGCGGGGAAGGGCACACGCCAGGGCTGAAAATTTAAGAGGCGTCGGGGAAATAAACTCACTTATTTTTATCCTCCCAAATAAGATAGTTCGAAGAACATTTGAGATTCATCACGACTTCATCACTCAGCCGAATCGTTAACAAATAGATAACATCATATGAACAGAAATTCTCCGTGATAATTACCAGGAAGAATTTCTTAAAATTGAATTACTGGCAGACGAGACATGTTAATATTACCGATGCCGCTAAAAATTATTTTGATAGTGATACGTCTTTATGAAGGAGAGATATTAATTCATTTCTATCTCTACGATTATATTTATTTATATTTTCCTTAATATCAATCAGCTTGAAGTTAAAAACTTATTTAAAATCTTGTATTGTTGTCTTTTCGAAATTAGATGATTATTCTCTTCGAATTTGTTAAAGTTGTGATTGAAGAGAGCTATCTGGTGGTTAATTGTCTGCTTGTATTACGTCAAAGGCCTCGTTGCTAATGTTTCAAACAAAATAATTCGTTGGTCGTGAAACTTGTATAAGCGACGTACTCGGGTACAGGCAAATGAATAGACGAGTCCATATTTTGATAAGTTATAATGGGTGAAAAAAATCCTAATGCACGCTTTACATGGTAGTAGGGTTATTTACCTTCAGATACACTGTTCGGGACATAAAATTACTTCAGACAATGACTATTCGTATTATTCTACATTATATCACAAAAAATTAACCTATCCCTGCCGGGATTCGAACCCGGAACCTTTGAATTAGAAGTCCAACGCGCTAATCCATTGCGCCACAGGGACAAGTGTTGTATGACCTTGATGGGATAACCGCGATTACGGCAATTTAATTCAATTCAATTTATTTATTTTTCCTCTTTCAATTATTCATATTTACCATGATGGTACATTTTTACATATTCACATTATCAATATAAATATAGATCAATTAGAACAATACATAACATTAAAAAAAAGCATGACATTGGAAGGGAAGGAGGACCGACTAAAAAGCAGAGATATCTGACTGTCACAAATTCCACACTGAATAATTGATCACTTCTCACTTTTTTAAAATATATTTATAGTTTCTATATTTTATTCTAAAATCGTTATTATCGAGTTTCGATGACTTATAATAATGCAATATGCTAGCCTCTGCTTGAGTTTGAATTATGAATCGAATGTTTGAGTATGAGATTAGAGAAATATTTGACAGTACAATTAATGTACCGTGGGGATTTGTTTGTATGTTTCTTTTTGCTTTGTTGTCTTTTGTCCTTATTTTCTTGTGCTTTTAATGAATGATTTTAATGAAATGGAATAGATTTGAAGCAGGAAACAGTATCTAGCAAACAGTTTCCAATATGTATTCCTTAACTTGTTATATATGATTATAATTGGTTTGTAATGTTTTTTTGGAAGCAGAAATAAAATTGAAATTGATAAATTGAAATTGAAGGATGAAATGAGCAAATACTACAATCTCAAATCTTCTTTTTCGCTGGTTGTTTCGGATTACACATGTAAGTATCATTCCCTAATCAATCTTTACGATGTTGATTAAAGTTATCATTAGGTACTTTTAGATTTGCACGTCGACATAGTGGACTGCTACGTGTGACGTCCTATAACGGCACTGTTACATCCTTTTAAGGCACTGCGAATGCCTTAAAAGGACGTCGCACGTAGCAGTCCACTATGTCGACGTGCAAATCTATAAGTCCCTATTACACTGCGCTCGACGGGCGAGAGCGGTGGAGCTACCGAGAGCCAGAACAACGGGGTTACTGGACCGGATCTATATTGTTCTGGCTTGTTGGGCTTTGGAGTGTGGTCGGTGGATACTGGATGGCACTTTGATGTACAGTATTGGCATCTAACACCTGAGCTGCTCTTTCATTTCTTTTTAATGACGTGAGTTTTACTGTCAGTGGCATGTGCACAGTATGTGTCATATTATGACATGTCCAATGTTGCACCCAGTCAATGTTATTAGCACTCAATAGCTGTTGTTATGAAGACAAATGTAAACTGCATTATTATTTAACAAAACGCCCTACTGTGGTGGAAAAAGAAAAAGAAAAAAAGAAAAAAAATACATGCGAAACAGTAATTCAGGTATGTTGTAAGAAAATGACCACTTAGCCCATTTCAAATAAGTAGAATGCTTGAATTTGACGGTAATTAATGGAATATCTCCAATGCTGATCCTTTTTAGATGATTTTTTTCTTCTACCCTTTGGCTTTACACTTCACTATCTTAGATTTACTATAATGGTGTAGGCCTATTTACATGCTGGAACAGAACTAGCATTGAAATTGAATGTTTCAGGATTAGACCAAAATTATTCAACATTAATGTTTTTGAAAATAAATATGTATGTTTTTAGCATGTTAACAGTACATATAGATCCGTCGAAATAAAAAGAAGGAAAAATTCAATCACTGCCGGGACTCGAACCCGGAACCTTTGAATTAGAAGTCCAATGCGCTAATCCATTGCGCCACAGTGACATCGCATGCTCCTCTGGCAGAAAAACTCTACTATATCGATTTGAACGGAACGTGCACGGTTTTGGCCTATACAATACATGTTACGTTAGTACACACACGTGCGATCGCACGCATAGACACACACTACGTGATGTAATTATATACATGTAAATTTGATTGGCGAACAAGACAAATCATGGTTTTATCAAAGTCAAGATGAATTGAACTGGATTTACTTTGAAAAGAACTGTCCAACAATTATTTTAGAAAGTTCACATATCCCTTTTTTTTTTTTTTTTAGTTACATGTACATCAACACACTTTTCATCAGATTTTCCCCCTCCTCGATCTCCAGCGGCCAGTGCAGCGTGAACAAAATTAACTTCAGTTTTGGGTTATAATATTATGATGAGTGGATCAATTACAATATTCTTCGTGAAAAGCAACCATTTTCCCTTTCCTCAGATTCCAATCATTTTCTCCAAAAATTAGAGAGGGAAAATAGAATAAAACGATAATCAAATGATATTGAAATTTGTTCGTGCGGTGAAACGTTAGTCTGCAAGCACAGACCCTAATTTGACACTTTATCAAAAAATCATTGTGCCTTGAGAGAAGCCTAACCCAGCTACCTACTTGCTAGGCTAGGCCGTCTCTTTCCTAATTTATTCATTTATTGAATTTTGTCTAAAAAAAGAAGAAAAAAAATATAGGGTCTAAAATGAAAATAAGCAGAAGGAAAGGGGATGGAAAGAGAAGGAATCCTAAAAATAGTCATTTATGACATGAAACTGTACATTAATATGTATATAGATCTAGGTCTATATAAATAATTCATAAAATAGTGGGTGGCAAAAATAGTTAACTGTGACTGATTGTCAAACAAAATCAAATCAAGAAGAAGAAGAAGGTTGTGTCAATATAATATGAGCAGCTATAGTACATGGCCTATGATAGTCTTATAGTGCAGACTCTCTTTTACGACCGACCAGGGTTTGTGCCTGCAAACTAGTAAAACGTCTAGTTTTTCACCATTATGATTCTCAATAATCATCAAGGTCATTTTTAACTGAATAATATTTCCATTGACAGAGATGAGCATATTATGGTTCTTTGTTGAGAGAATGAAACGTCAAAAGTTTGTGCGATGCAGTCGATCGACGTCCAGTGTATCACGATAATCTGTCGTCTGAAAAATTGTTACGTTGAAATGTGTGAGGGCGCCAAGGAAACGTCGAGATAACAAGATACGAAACGAAGAGCTCGTATAAGGAAGTACCCACTCGCCTGTTTGAAGGAGGGAGGGGGCAGTGAGCCCCTCCTGACAAGGAATTGGAAAGATACGCCCATTTAAAAAAAATATAGTTCGAAAATAATTGCGTAGGTCTAAAAACATTGTCAGACTGCTCTTGCCAATGCATGATATGGACAGTATTCTAAACAAAATGTAAAAATAGAGAAATGCCAAGTATACGACGGGCGGTATTGGCAATAATGACATTTACCTCCACTGTTACCCATAAGGTTACACTAATTGTTTCTTATCCCTTTTCATGAATTGGCTGTGGCAACATGATTTATTCTAGATAAATAAAATTAATAATTATGTTTTCACAATTTCACTGATGAATCTACCGAGTAATATAAATTGATCAACTAAGTTCTGTGAAGATTATAATCTTATACCATAAAAAATAAACAATATTGTCACAATCAGTTTATGAAAAGAAGTAGGCTTAATAAAGAATTATTCCAACATTATGAGCAACAGTGTATTTGTAAGGGGGTAATGGGGGTGCCGGTCGGACCTAATACGACGAACGTTTTTTTTTTTTTTTTTTTTTTTTTTTTTTGGGGGGGGGGGAAATACCCCTCCTAATAAGGCCAAAGTCTGGATACGCCGCTGGAATTTCCTAATTGGTACGGCATGCGTTCGTTAGGGCTCTAGGCTATAAATCGTTATGAATTAACCAACATCATATTCGTAAAAAATGATGCTTTTCCCTGAATTGCGCGGAAAGAGTGAATCTCGTACGGATTATATTTGCAATTACATACAGTCATTTCGATTGACATCATTCGAGTGAAATTGAATCCAATTTAAGCTCTAGAATGGAATGAACGGAGTAAGGATACGAAGTATAAATAGAAGTACATCATAAAAGGACGCTCGAACTAGCATGACTCTAGCCCTACTTATATAACGAAGTACGCGGTCGTGAAATTATTATTCATTATTAGTGGAATCAAGTTATGAGGAGAATTATGTTTGGTAAATTATTATCGAAAATAAATATAATTTCCATTGTCTTGACAATGAGAACATAATGCGCTCACGCTTTTTTTTCTGTATGGTTTATAATGTACAGTATGAGTGTGACACACTGAAAACAGGGTAGACACATTTCGGAGAAGAAAAAAAATAACATAGAGAAAGTTTCCAATTTGGATAACTGTCAATGTTACAATTATAATTATTGATATTGTGAACAGTGTCTTGTTTAAGTGTTTATTTGTATTCGTCGCACACTCGACAAATCTCAATTCGATCATTAACTGTCCAATTTCTTACATTAATTTTGTGATGCGCTGTGGGCTAACAACTTCAGATTTATTAACTGGCACCGAGCGCTGACATGTCTAATCTTTCCTCTAAATTTGTAGTCGACTTCTATCATATCTATTTGTCATAATGTATTTCGTTGTTAGCGTCTATGATTTCAGGCTATTTTTTTTTTACAGACAAAATGCATACAAGGCACAAGGGCTTGTTTGATATTAGGAGTAAGTGTTAAAAAAAATGCCAGAATTATGCATAAATCTATATCACACAAAAAATTACTGATTTGATAACAATTGGCGTTTTAAAGCAAAGACGATCATCATTTTGATTTATGAAAACATACTTATATGATGAAAAAACTTTTGACTACAGACTATTTCTCTATAGGCCTATATTCGGATTAATGAACTTCATTGCTATAGTTAATTTGTGAGTTCTGAAACTTCGTAATATCGAACATAACCCGAAGACATTGGAGACTATATTTAATTGGTATAAAAAAAAGACGCTAATTGGAATCATTAAGATCATCTGATGGAAGTAATTAATAGATTTCCTTTTACGGAAGTTATTCGCTTTAATGGGAGACACTAAAAATGAAATGAATCGATATTTCACAGTCAATTGACTGCCACATGAAGAAGGAATCATTCGGAATGTTTTTTTGAAAAGGGTAAATTAAAAGGAAGTTGTCACGATCCGCACGACTTGTCTTAGAGCAGCCCCCAATACTCCCTATAATCAGATACTCCCGAGGAGAAAAAAAACCTATTTATTCTCAGCATGACCACACATATCGAATGGACGAAGATGAAAAGTGATTAATGTTTCCAAAGCGGATAACATTATTCCTACAAGTCGCCTTAACATTTACCACATTAAGTTAAGGAAATGAGGAGGAATATGAGTTGAAAGTGAAGGGGAAGGGATTTAATGTACCCGTCCATTAGTGGCAGCAGCCCCATAAAATGTTTCCTTTCTAAACTCCAGACGAGACTCAGATGCTAGGAATTAATTTTATTAAAGGACTGTCTTTTATTAAACATCAGGACGATTTTCAGATTGTGTAACTGTTCATGGGACTTTAGTTGATTCGAATCGCGGTCCTTTAAAGGTAATACAAAAATTTGGGAAATTTTGAAAATTGGGTGGATGATTCTTTACAATTGTGATATATTTGGATGCCCCTGTGGATGTTTTACAAGCAGTAGAAAATTTAGCCCCTAAAACACTGCTTTCGAGAAAAATTAAATATATAAATTTACCGGTACTCCCGGTAAATTTTGATAAATTTCAAATAGCGCCTACGGCCGTACAATGGTAGCTGCGGCCATGAAACTCTCAGAATATGTAGTTGTGATATAAAATTTCCAAACGGGATAAGCTAATCGGTCGATCTCAGTTAACAAACATTGTTTTATAGCTTAATTAATATCTGACTTTGAGAGGGAGCTATACAACATAAAAAGTGTATTATTTACAATTTCATTACTTTAGACTCGATTTCAACCGCGACAACGATCATTGAGTTGTGTAAGATAGCAAATGCTTCAAATGTGTTCATTTGAACCGAATTCATGACCCCATACCAAACTTTGTATTACCTTTAAGCTTTCAGTCTAAAAAAAAATCATAATAAAATTGACCCAGTCTTGGTAAAGTAAAAAGCACTGTACACAGAAAGATGTATATGGGACTACACAAAATTAATGGTGTCGGGGCTAGCTTACCTTGATTCCCTTATCTTTCTCTGCTCATTATCAGCCAGTATACATTTTCTACCAAAATTGTTTGGCACATGACATTTATTTGTAATCTTAAGCATTCAGTATAAGTTTCGTTTGATTCTGTGAGAATTCTTTTTTTTTTTTTTAACCAGAACTCAAGTTTATCTTTTATAGCACTCTGTTTGGGGAAAATAACTTACAGTCATCAATACATAAATTTCCTTTATACCACTGCCTACATCAGGTCCGTCTGAAAGTCTGATAGGGTTAATGGATAAATAATTGTTATTGTATGATATCTGACGTAACATGAATTATGTCATAGGCATTTTTGTTCAGTGAATTCATATGCATATACAAAACGAGAAAGTATAGATTCGAACAAGAGAATTATATGGATTGTGGAGACAGAGGCTAAGATGAGTTTTCAACATCATAATATCCATTAATTGAAGTGGTTTACATGTACACGATAAAATGTACATTCGTCTCGTAACGGTCTCTTTCCATAGCAGAAATATTCTCATAATATTGGTTTCCAAATAATTATAGGAATTTTAAAGTTGGGAACAATTAGTTTGTCTAAGATATCTAAATCCATATTTTCGGCAAAAGTAGGTGCGTGTGAATTGATTTGGCAGTCAAATAGTGTGAGAATGATTCTTAGGCAGCCGACGGCTATCAGCTGTTGTCGGTGGGAGTTGTTTCCGTTATGATCGAAATATTTACTAACTTAACTTTTGTATAAAAGGAAATCTTTACAAAAATGCCCATCAGCGATAAGTCACATGACCGATGAACGTTTGTCGTATGATTGGAAACAAAAAGACAGATGACCGGATGACTTAAAGATGGGATATTTTGTAACAACTTCTTGATTTCGATACGGAAAGTAGCAAGAATAGAGAATAAGTAAACAATACTTGCTTACTATAAAGTCATGTCCGAAATGTCAGTATTTGGGTTGAATTTTTAATTATTTTTTAAATTGGAAGGACGGGATCTAGGTATTATTTTTTTTAAATGTTTAACTATATTAACAATCATGGTTATTAATGAAGTAACATCATTTATGATTGTATAGATGTTTAAAAAAAAGTATATAAAAGTTAGAAAAAGCACAGGTCATGTTTTTTTTTTATTACAATGCAGGGCTAATCCTTCATAATTATTATTCATGATGGAATACGCGGTACACAATGTTTTATGAAGCACAAAAAGGCTAACGATCATTGTCATCAGAGATAAAGAGGGAGAAAACGTAGAATGAGTGAACAACAATTAATGAGAGAGAGAGAGAAAGATAGAGAGAGAGAGAGAGAGAGAGAGAGAGCAGAGGCGGGATACAGGGGAATAAAAAGAGGGAGATGAAGATAGAGGGGAGAAAGAGAAAGCAACTGAGAAAGAAATAACAAAAAATAGAGAGAGTGAAGAGGGAAAAAAAAAGCAAGGAGTGGCAAAGCAAAACGGTTTGTGGTACAACAAAATAAAGTTTTTAGTTTTTTCATAGGTTTTTTTCTCTTCTCTCATAAAGAAAATTTTACATATTTTATACAATTTTATACAAAATTACAAATAATCTTCACAGCTTGCATATAAATTTCCAATTATTTATTTCTTTTCCACAATAATTTTTTCAAAATTCTTTCAGAGAGAAAAAAGGATTATGATTAAAAAAATGAAATAATATATGACAAAAGAAGAAAAAGAATTAAAAACAGAAGGAAAAAAGAAAGAAAAGAAAAACAAAGGAGAAAGGAAAAGCAAGGGTAGAGATGGAGACGATAATTATCGGGGACATTTTCCACTTCGATACAGGGACACTTTCTTCTTCAAGGGAGTGGTAGAGTGGCACAGGTTTGGGCCTTGGAAAACACGGAGAAGGGGAAGAGGAGTTTCCTTCGTTGTCATTTTTTTAATACACTTGCAATTGTTTCATGATGTTTGTTTGTATGTATATTTGTTGTCTTGATTTGTGTATTGTTGTATGTTTAGTAACGAATATATTTCTTATTTGTTATTATCAAAAAAGGGTCAACCTTTATAGGATTATGTTTCCTTTCAGGTTGCAGTTTATTTTATGTCCTCGTCAAATATGTTCTTAATGCGTAGTTTGTGTTATATAGCTGATTGTTTTATGAAATGTTGTATTTTTAACTAAATGAAATAAAATTGAATTGAATTTCTCTAGACCCAAGAGTTCAGAATTCGGTTTACTGTTAGATAACGGAATGCACTCGTCAAGACCCATCGCCCTCCCGACTCACCCTCCCCATGCAGTACCCGTGCCAACATTATCCTGTGTCATCTCCGCTTGTTCCATTCATCGGGATTAAGATCAAACATGAAAGTCACAATCATACATGAACATAATTAATGATTTACATGTCGTCATCTATACCACTTCAAGATCCTATAGTCATAACCGCGAGACCAGGTGCAGCACCAGAGCTTAGCCGGCGGTCTGGCCCGTCGAAGGGAAACAATTCTTTGCTGTCCATTGTTTGAAACTGGGTTTCCACCTGTCCATAGCTGCGGAAGCGTTGTCTTCCCGTTCTGCCAGACCAGAAATTTATATTCCATATCATATCTGTCAAATACAATTATTTCATTGCGGGGGAATGTTGTTCATAAGACACTCCTGTGTCAGAGTGGCATTATCTTCTAGGTTACTTTATCTATAACTAAAAAATTAACAGTCGTTCGTTTTTAACGAAAGAATGATGATCAGAGAAACGAGCATGAGACGTTTTTTCGGAGTTTACATTTCAAATACAGTTGAGGAAAATCTTCAAACCGCATGAAAAGGCTTCCAATAGACATGTCAAATTTAAGGACAACTATCGCAAGGATCGACGACCATCCCTGGGACAAAAAGCCTAGGGCCACCTACCGTACTCCAAAAGGTGCGCACAACATTATTATGGGAAAGGATTATGTATAAGATTAAAGATAAACTTGAGTTCTGGTAATGCGATTGCATTGTGAAAGAAAAGTTGTGGAATGGATCAGAAAAGTTGATCATATAGCATGTAAGTAATGGTGTGTAATGCAAGGTTCTGGAATCATCAAAGTCATCATAAATTTGGCAGAGTCTTGGTAAAGTAGGAATCACTTACACAGAAAGATGTATATGGGACAACACACATGGTGTCGGGGCTAGTACAACCCTGATTTCCTTATCTTTCTATGCTCATTACTCAGCCAGTATACATTTTCTTCCAAAATTGTTTGGCACATGACATTTATTTGTAATCTTGAACATTCAGTGTAAGTTTCGTTAGATTCTGTGAGAATTCATTTTCTTTTTTTTACCAGAACTCAAGTTTATCTTTAATATGTTTCGTCATTAGTAAAATCGACATGTGATTAGAGAAGAAGAAGGAGAAGGAGGGATGAACCATGCAGGGCAGGACAGGGAGGTCATCGTGAAAGAAAGAGGATCTAGGGTCTCCTCGCACCCCCAATCGGTGGTCATGTTTTAGAATTCGCATTTCATCCACCAGTGTTCACCTAGTAAGAACAGAGCACCTCGATGACCCCCCCCCCCCCCCCGCCGTGACGCTACTAAATTGGCACCAGTGACTGGACCAGAGTGGGTGTGTGTGAGAGGGGGAGGGGCG